CTTCTTGTTACCCAATTTCAACAGATTTACATGGCCACAAGAACTTATCTAGTATTTGCACCACCCGATTTGTCTGTTTGCATTCTTCTGTGTAATGTTATACTTATACAGATGCCCCATTATGCTAATGCAACTGCTATTATAAGTATTCTAATCCAATTGTTAGTAACAGTTGCTATAATACGAATATTATATAGGTGATTATCCAAATTTTTGCTGTCGATGAAATTTAAACACCCAATCTACCACTTGAGAGGTTGACAATCTGACTACTTCACTAGGTTGCTATACTCCTGTTTATCTATTTGTCTTTTTGAAAATATTTTATAAGTTTTTATTAATTTGACAATACTGTTGAAAATTTATGCTATCTCTTGATTTAAAACTTTTTAAATAGGCTTTTGACTTATTAGTTTTTTTTATTTTTTATGTTTGGTAATCTTATTATAAGTTTGTATTAAAGTTTATATAATACTAGCTATTTAATATTTTTTTATATATATATAATATTACACTTTGTATAGATGCTTTAAGATATTGCAACTGAAGGTTATAAATATATTAATTTAACTGATTATCAAAAAACAGTTTGTTATAACCAAGAAATAATTTCTAAATTTTGTTATAAATAGAATTTGAATACTAGATTTGCTACTTAAAAGATAGCAATTTGTCTACTACACTAAAATTACCATCTTTATAGTATAATTTCTATTATATACTTATTTATTTTTTAATATATTCATATGTTTGTTTTATTGTTCATTTACTAAAATCTTTATATCTAATGTTTTTTTTCTTATTTTTTGTTATATTTAATCATATAAAAACAGCTCAAAGTTATTCAAAATTTCTTATAAAAAAAAAAACTAAATAGTTTAGTAAAATAAAAAGAAAAATAGTATTAGAAAGAAAAATATAAAAGTTTATACAAATAGTAATACTGTATTAAGAAATATTAATAGAGTATTACAAAGTATAAGAAATAAGAAAATTCTAAAGGGTGTGGTGACCTAGTGATGTGGATAGGTTGTCAACCCTCAAGTGGCAGGTCTAAGGTTCAATTCTCACAGACGACGAATTTTGGAAATTATATCTGTGCTATGGTAACTGTCTCTACTGATCGGTTGCGTTTTGGGCATCTGTAATCTTAAGTACACCAAGTCGGGCTCTACCTGACATTGGGAGCTCAGGGCATCTATGTGAAGTGTAACGTTACACAGTACATGTACATAGAGGAATGTTAAAACCGGTGTCATATAAGGCTTCGGTGCAAACCCATGATAAGACCCCCAGGCGTAGAAGGCTAAGAAACCGAAGAAACGGAAACTCACTAGGAAATCCCGAGTAAAGAGGTAGCACAAACTTTTGATAGTGCCATTGGACTGATGGAAGCCCATGAAACACCTTCATAGGAACTGTCAGATAAACCGAATAACGAAGATGTATAGAGAAGCACATGACCAACCAGGTCGCCGGAATCGCCAAAGGAAAAGGATACATAAGTATATCATACTAGGCCATCTGGATTGGGAGTCTGGAGAGTCGGTTAGTTCTGAGTTGCGGCTAGTAGGAGATAATAGAGAAGAAGTCGGAAAGATGGGTATCAGGGTTTAGGTGAACTTTACAAGGGTAATAGTGGTTTAAGGGGTAACCCTGACTGCAATTGTTTGCCCTGATCATAGCGTCAAACCAGGTTAGCAATAAAAGGAAATACGGTTCGCTCTGGTAGGTTTGCCTCAAAGATAAAAATAGTCTAAGGATTATAGTTCTATGGTTAATAGCAAATAGATCCAGGTCTGTGACCTGGTGAAATTAATACTAAGGTTAGATCAGAGGGTTTAAATGAAACATCTAAGCAGGAGTATTAGGTATGGCAACTAGTAGGGAACTCTCAGGCGGACTTCTTAAATAGGTAATATAGAAAAGTTACATATGTAGCCAGCTGTATACTCGTCTAATAGTTCATTATAGATACATCTATATAAACATATATCTGCTATAAGTATTAATAAAAAGCTCAGACCAAAGAGGTTATCTTAATACCGAAAAAAAAAAACTATAATTAAATTTTTAAGAATATTATTTTATTGTTTTAATTATAATCAGAATTGTTTTTTATATAACAGCTTTTGTATACAATTATAATTATAATTAGAACAAATAATTTTTTTTTTTTTTTTTTTTTAGTTAAAGTTTCTATCTTGGAAGTTGCGATGTTTTTATTCAAGTATATTAGGACATGGCATGCCACCAGGGGATCACCTTACATTGGAGGTTACAACTAGTCACACATGCACTTTTGGTGCCTAATTTAAGTAGTTCACTTACATATTACTATATAAGTTCTACACTAGTTGCCATACCTGCAAGCCAATTAGGAGTCTTGTCTATTTAAACCCTCTGCATATGCAGTTCTCCTTGTATCACGGAAACATCTCAAGGTGCCATTCATCCAAGTTCTCGATGCTTATCAGTATCCTTAGGACTACTTTATCCTCGATAAGAAACTTACTAGAGTCTTTATGTCCCACATATACAAACCTAGTTTTATGCAACATGCTATAGTTACCTAACACTTGCAGTTACAGGAGTTACCTGTTTAACTGCTACATTATACTATTTTTATCTTTGTAAAGTTCACTAGAACCCCAGTACCTATCTTTCTGGCATCTTCTCTATTATCTTCTACTAGCCGCAACTTAGAACCATCAGTCTTATTCCAGACTACCAATCCAGATAGTCTAGTATGATATACTTCTGTATCCTTTTCTTCTGGCAAACCTGGCAGCCTAGTTGGTTATATGCTCTTTTACATATATTTGCCATTCAGTTTTAATCTTTGGTTTCTATGAAGATGTTTTGTAAGCTTCAACTAGTCCAATGATACTATTAAAAGTTCATGCTACCTCTTTACTTGGGAGTTTTCAAGTAGGTTTCTGTCATCTTGGTTCCTTAGTCTTCTACACCTGGTGGTCTTATTGTGGATTTGCATCAAAGTTTTATGCAATACTGATAAACATTCCTCTATATATATGTAACATTATACTTTGCATAGATGTCTGAGTTCCTAATGTTGGGAGGACCCGACTTGGTGTACCTGAGTAACAGCTACATGAGGCCAACCAATTAACAGAAGACAGTTATCATAACACAGATATAATTTTCAAATTTCATCATAGATAGGATTTAAACCTTAGACCTGCTACTTGGAGGATAACAACCCAACCACTATACTAGGATTATCATCCTCTAATAATTTTATTGATATTGTAATTTTTTTATATTTTTTATATAAAATAATAATCTTAATTATTTTATAATTTTTTGTATAAAAGTATAATCATAATAGTTTCTTTAATAATTAAGTTATTAACAAATAAAACTAGATCATATACAACAATAATTATATTAGTTTTTTTTAAATAGTTAGTTATTTAACAAATAAAATTAAACTATATTCTCAATTAAAGCTAAATCTAATCAAATTCATATAGTATATAATTAAATAATAAGTAAAAATATTTTTTATAAAGAAAATTTAAAAAAAATTAGTATATATTAAAAATAAAATACTTTTCTAATCTATATTATAAAGAAATTAATAACATAGTTTTAATTTTTTATAATTTAATCAATAGTATTTATAATTTTAATGAATTTAAAGATTAGATGAAATTTGTACTTCTGTTTCTTTATAAGTATAGTTAAACCTCTCTATAGTCACCTTCTCTATAGTTACATTTGCTTATAATTACATAAAATTTTAAAACTAACTTATATAAAACTTATAAAATTTAACCTCTATATAAGCACAAACTCTTTATAAACATCAAATTTTTTAAATCAAAAATGTAATTATAGAGAGGTTTGATTGTAATTAATTAATATTATAAAATACTGCTTAAATTAATTATCATAAATGAAAAAATTAAGTCAACTAACAATTATTATTTGTATAATCATGAATTTGATCAAATTAAATTATTTATTATTTTTTTTAACAATCTTATATATAATTATAAACTTCTTACTAAGATAGAATATATTTTTAAAAAATACAAAAGATTTGAAAAAATAAAAAATAATGATAACATTTTTAATAAAAAATAAAAATATAGAATATAATTATAATGTACAAAAATTTTATTATGATTGTTACTCTTAACATAATAAAGAGGAGTTAAGTTTATATTATAATAATTTTCACTTACTTGACATAAATATATTATCAAAAATTAAATTATATATTTTAAGAGACTTGTTAATGCCACCCCTTATATAATCTAACCCTAATTAATAATTAGGGTCTGAAAGGTCGGAGATTAAATATTTTATATAAAGGGGGTGGCATTAGCAAAAGTAGGAGGTGGCATTAACAAATCTCTATTTTAATTAATAAATAAGTTAGGCCAGATCATCAAGGGGCATGCAAACGTGCCGAGTAAACATTTGTTAACTTCTGGTGTTTTTTAATTTTTTTTATTAACGTACTTATATCTAGCAGCCATAATTCCAAATTAAAGTGATTTTGACACCATTCGATTCGTCTTAATAAGGCAAATTGAATGATGCTAAAATCGTTCGTTTCCAATCATTGTATTACGAGATACTTTAAAAAAACTTCAGTGCGGCACATTACCTCCCGCGCCAGAATACCCGACTCTCCCTTATATATGTATGATAAAATCAACACCGATTTAATACGTACATATAAATATTCCGGATCCACTTAAATTCTGTTTCCACTTACAACATATATCGATATAGTTAAAAAATTTAGCATTTACACAAATCACATATACAGACCATAATTTATTAACAAAATTTTAAAGTTATTAATAAAATTTAAAATTATATTAAGTTTTTCCAACTTTCTATTGGTTAAATATGTTACACGGCAGCTAAAAATTGGCGCCTATATATAAAATTTATTGGTTTTAGGTGGTACTATAGATTTGAATATGCTTGTTTGACTGTCATTTCGCTATTCTTAATATATGGCTGTCAAAAATAAATCCGTATCTTTAAATTCAAATCCGACGAGCCCAATAACGGGAACTACTGTTTTACCTATTGCTCGCGTGAAACGTATTATTAAAGAAGATGACGAAGTAACAATGTGTGCTGCTGACGCGACATTCGTAATTGCCGTTGCAGCGGTAAACATTAGCTTTCAAAAAGTTAAGCTTTGGCAAAATTCTCGCTTATTAATAAAACCTTTTACCTGGTAATAGGAACTTTTTATAGGACACTTCGTGAAACAAGGTTTAGAACAAGCAAATTCTGAAAAACGAAGAAACGTTCTATACCAAGATTTGGGTTAGAATTACACAAAACAGTTACCATTTATTTGATTTTCTTTTCTTTTTGATTTAAAAAAAATTAACATCAATGATTGTTTGCTCTCAAACAAATATTGCTATTGTAGCTAACGCAGTAAAAGATAATGAGCATCTGGTGTTTTTGCAGAGTAAATATAAATATAATTAAGGACATTGACATTTAAATATAGTTGCTAAAAGACTTCAAATTATCTAGGTGTTGTTCCGCAAACTTGTAAATTCGAAAAGGCCTTAAAAACATATAACGATACTATGAAACAATACGACACTACCAGGACATTTGACGAAACAAATAGTGATAATAGTAGTGAAGAATCAAGCGACGATAATTGTGATGGAAATGATGCTGATGTAGGTCTCCAAAATAATGAAGAGGATCAAAGCAATGACGAGCTTGATCTGATTTCTGAAAGTGGTCAAGATATGAGTGAAAGTAACACCGATGATCTTGACTCAATAGAAGAGAATGGAGTTAAAAGTAATGATAGTGAAAATGTTGATAGCAATTCCCCAATTCATAATGGCAATAACAACGAAGAAAACGGGATTTCGGACAGCGAACTTAGTGATGCTCCAACCTCAAGCAATGAAAATAGTTCGGGACAGCTTTAAATGATCATGAAATGGAGAGTTCACTCACATATGCGGTCACGTAATCTACACAAAATGTGATTAATTTTTGTCAATTTTACGTGACATTTATGAGAGCATTTAAGCGAATAATAAATGCATATGTATATAATTGTTAGAATCATCACAATTATCATTTGTATATCACAATTGTCATTTTTTACGATATTAATAATGTAATTAAATAGATTTATTTTTAACATCATGATTTTTGCCGTTTGGATTTTAACGATGGAAAAGGTGAAATTTACAGACCTAGAACGTGTAAATTCTAATAGCTACAAAGATGATTTCTACAAATCAAATGACATGATGTTTTGTATCGCTTGCAAACTGGTGTTACAAATCGAAAGTTGAAAGAAATCGATTAGTGATTAAACAGCTACTGCTGTCCCGTGATTTTCGCTAAAATTTCATTGGCCAAAAATAAACCGCAGATCGTCAACGCATTTGTAAGGTGTCGTGATTGGTTTGAAATCACGGGACTGCGGATTTTTTATGTTTAATGATATCCAATATATCTTCTAGTACATTTGGTACGTATCTTGTAAAGAATTAGTTTAATCTTATTGTGAAACTTTTCAATAACAGTGAATTTGACTCTCTTAATGATATGCATTATTAATAGATATATATTATACTGTACGTATAACATAATTTGTGGCAAGCAATATTTTCATTGTTAAAGTACCCCAATTTGTCATTCGAAAATTGCCTAAAGGGATACTAATCAAATTCAAGCCTAGAAATGAGACCCGAGGTACTATTTGCCACAAATTACGGAATATATTTTTATTAATCATTACATAAAGTAATGGGGAATTATGGCGGTGTTAATATTTATTTTATTTAAACTCTATAATAGAAAAGAAAAGCAAGCCAGCTTATGTTTGCATAAGATTTATCAGTGTCAATTCATTTTATCGTTTGGGAGAACCGATAGGTCGGCATAAAATAGAAATATCTACTCGTTCTATATTAATAAAAAAGTATTTATATGGCTATTTGGAATGTTTTTTATACATTGGATTGTATAAGAATAATTAGACTCTATTGGATAGACAAGAAAAAGTGAAAAAAAACTCAAAAGCTAGTGATTAAATCGGTCTTGACGTACTAATTAAAAATGTCGGAAGCGAGATTTTACATATAATGAGCAATAGTCTATGGCTATAGCCTCCTCGTGTTAATTCCAATATTATGTAATCTGTCACTTTATCCATCTCGCCATATTACCATTTACCTTATAGAAGTCAAAATTTTATTAAATGAATAAATATTAGCATATTAAGTAAAGTTATTCAGAAGATCAAAAAAAATATATATGGGGGGAGTCAATAGAAATGGGACAACTTATTTTAGTATTTTTTTTAAAAAATATTAAGTCAAAATATCTCAACAACTATCTAATCAAATTTAAAATTAAAATAAAAAATTTTATAAAATCTGGTTTGATAGTTGTTGAGATATTTTAACTTAAAATCAAGAAAACTTAGAAAAAATTTGGCCCATTTCTATTGACTTCCCTTCCGCATTTTAAATGGTTGATATGAATTAAGAAACTTTTTATTAATATATTTTATTTTTTATGTCTTACAAAATATTAAGAACCAAGTTTTAAAATTCAAACCAAGTTTGACTTAGATTTGGTTATTATATAAAAGCTGGTTTTTAGGTTTTTAATCGGAATCAAAGGTTTTAGAACATGAACTAATCCTAAACTAACTTTATCATCTCTAGATAGGTTTAATCTAAACAAAAAAAACGCATACATGATTAGTTATTATTATATAATTACTTAGCGACAATTCTAAAGTACCTTGAAATGCAGTCCGATCAGCGAAAAGACCAAACATTTAAGATCTTGTACTAAGTAATAAAATACACGTAAACCTTCGGGGTCATCACTCTCTTGTACGTCAACAAGTGACCCAATTTTTGCTGTCTATATTTCGGCAAAGTATTACTCGCTTAATACGTAAATTCAAAACGAACTTGAAAAAAGAAAACTTTTACCTCGAATGAAATGTGTTCATTGCCAAGCCGAATTTCAAGTTCCTGCCGTCCAACGACATTCTTTTTTGGCCATCGTTGATCGTCTTCTCTGTAAGAGATCAGTTTATGTTAATCGACGTATTAGTATAAAGATTTACTGATATTTAATACTTACTTCATGACTTCACTCTCCTGAATGATTCGTTTTAATTCTTTCATCATTAAAGGACTAACATACACTGAGCAATATTCCGAAAAACAAAGAGGGTTAGTATCTCTGAATATTAAACTAAATATGGGAAACTTTGATATTTTATAGTCTATTATCAAGACGTGTATTTACTTTCTTTTCTTATTAGACTATCATTCCGATAGTTTGAATTGTTAGCATAACGACACCTTCCATCAGCACGAAACTCAAACTCAAGAAATTCGTGGCCGTAACGGCCCATATGACCGGTGCTTAGCATAAAATAAAAAAGTAAAATGTATTAAAGATATATGTATAAAATCGGGTAACATTATAATTAATAAACGCGTACTAATAGCGAACATAAAACTCGTCTTCGTTGACCATATTTTGAGAAATTAAGAAAGTGATTATTATATTATATAGGGTATCATATTTGTATTTATGTAACTCAATATCACGTGAGAAAAGAATTATAAATTTCCGTTCGATCAACTCAAGCACGTACATACGTACGTACATATCAGATATCAAAGTTTCTTAATTTAGTGTTAGGATTATGAATTCTAGAGAATATTTTGAAAATATTAAACATTATTCGACGAATGAAGAAGGGTCAAAAGTGGCTGATCTATTAACAATAAGGGCAACAGCTTTGATTCAACAATTAGCTGTACTCTTTCAACATGTAAGTTTTCTCTCTCGAAATTGATGGTTATTATTGTTTAAATATCTCAATGTTTTAACTTATCTAGAAAACAAGAATAGAAGACGATGTTAAGAGGTATTTGTCAGCACCGTGGGACGATATTGTTATACAGTATATAAAGTGTATTATAGCTATGCATAACAGAAAGTTTGCGGAGGCCTTCGAGGAACATCATAGCTTGGTCCAGTATCCTTAAAGTTTTTGATTCGTTTAAATTTCCTTTTTTTTTGAAAACACGTAGCCCCTTGACAATCTATTTAAAATAAAGGATTTTTCAGAGAGCGTTTTCACAGCAGCTGGCGCGTTGGTCTTTGCCGATATTGTACACTATAAATTATGATTTACGAATGCTTGCAATTAAGGTGATAATAATTTTATATTAATTCATATAATTTATTTTCGTCATTCCTAACGACCTTTTTTATTTCATAATAAATTAAGTCGGACTTGATATTTATGATGGCGGAAAAACCACCAAAGAATTTGGAAATAGCAGCTCGCGCAATTAATAAATCGTTTTCATTATGCATAACAGACAGGTAAAATTTATAATTCAATAAGTGTTCCACACATGCATTAAAAAAAAAATTCCTGACTGATCAATTCTAGGGCTGCATTAAACGTCTCTCGTAAATGGGGAACATATTATTTCGCAGGGCTCTTGTTCAAAACATATTTCAAAGTTCGTATTTTTTAACATTTTATTGATATATAATGACCCATATTTATATGAATTTTTTGCTTTTAGTTGAAACAGCAGAATCTGTGTAAAAATGTTATAAAATCAATTAAGGCTTCAACAGATTTGCCGCCTTTTGGACAATTTCCCAGAGCACATCAGGTGACTTTTCTGTATTATCAAGGATTACTTGCTTTTCTTGAAGCCGAATATAATCAGGTATTTAAGTTTGGCTCTAACTTTATAATTTCATTTTTTTGAGTTTGACTTTATTTGACATTGTACATATTTCCCCATTAGGCTGAAGAAAAATTCGTAACTGCATTTCGAATGTGTCCTAGATCTAGTCAGAAAAATAAGGAGTAATTTCCATTAAGTTTTATAGAATTTGCTTTGAGAATTATCATTAGTGACAATACTCAAATCTTTTTGTGAATGTTAATCTATAGGTTGATACTTCGTTATCTTATCCCTGTTTGGCTAACTCGAGGTGTTTTGGCATCGCCGGATGTACTTTCTCGGTATCCTAACTTAGAAGCTTTGTACAAACCATTCATTGATGCCATTAGAGATGGTAATGTTAAAAAATTTGATGACGCACTTGCAAAGTTTGAACTAAAATTAGTTGCTCAAAACACGTTCCTGACTGTTGAACTGGCACGGGAGATTGCAATGAGAGTCTTATTTAAGAAAGTGTAAGTACACCTGAAAATCTTGATTTTCCATGTTGAGCATTAATAATTATTCGTATACCTTTTTATAGCTACTTAATCAACATTCGAGAACCGAAAGTTCCATTGAGCAAATTCCAACTGGCTTTGAAATATGTAGGAAGAGACGTGGAAATGGCAGAAGTAATGTGGTATATGGCTTCAATGATTCAAAAGGTATGATTGTTCATTTTATTTTCCTATCGTTGAGGTTAAATTTATATAGTCACTACATGTCATTATATTAGGGCTTAATCAGAGGATATCTATCATATTCTAAAGAATTCCTAGTTTTGAGTGAAAAAAATGCCTTTCCCGTCTTTGGTGCTCCAACATTAATATAAAAAAAGTATGGTTTAATTATTTGGTAACGCATTAGGGATCTACTCATAATTAAATTCCTAAAGCATTTCTGATTCATATAAATAGATGATAATGAACTACAAGGTAGGTCAGTAAAGGTAGGTTTTTAGAGACAATACATCTATTAATAAATTTCCAACAATAAATCAAAATAAAAAGTTTATTATTTCACTAGTTGAGAAAATATATGAATTTTTCGACTTCAATCATTGATATCATCTAGGCCTTCTAATGCTAAAGCCTGTAATGTCATTGATACATCATATTCGCCTAACAAATCGGCCGAGAATTAATTTAGTCAATAAAAAAATAAATAATTGTTAAACTTTAAAATAATATAATACCATTGGTTCTCTTGCAGTAATCATCTTGATTATTCACTTCAATGTCTTTTCCACTTTTCTTTGGTTGTTCAGGTTGTTCAATAACTCTAGGGTCTAAAAATTTAAGTTTTAATCTTGGATGTTTATTTGAAGTAACACGTCCGCCCCATAACCAGTGAGGAATTGTACTGGGAATTTCAATTTCTCCCGCAAACTTTTCGATAAACTCGCTTTCTTCTGATGATATTACACCGCCGCGAAGATATCTAATTTAATCATCAGAGGAGTGAATCAACCACAAGCACGAAAGAGGAAAGAATGTAACTTTTACAATACTAAATCTAACCTAAGAAATTCACCCATACACGAAGGAATACTCCACATTTGTAGTTTTCGCAAGCAAGCAACAATTAGACCTGTAACATTTGCACCATCTAAACAATGAATGAATATTGGTAGATTTGATGGATCTATGATTATCTGATTACATTATTTGAACATAAGTTCGCAAGTAATAAAACATTTCACAATTATTAAGGCTCGAGAAAAAAGTCATACTTGTACAGATTGAATAGCTTTACTATAAATCAAAGATGCATCATTATCTTTCTTTTTGTCAACTTGAAGATGAATATTACGAATATTTTGAGATTGACAGAATTCCAATAGTTCGCGAACTGGCGGATCGGGAATTAGAGAAAGCATTGTTTTTAATTTAAGTCTATAAAATTTTATCGATTCAGTCGCGTTAAATAAGTCTAATGCAAAAGGCATAATAAGTCGAACCTTTTAAGAAAACGATAATTTCGACTTTTGGGATATGCCCCACGGTACACTTCTTCTTCGACGATAGCATAACGGAAAGGTGGTATTAATGGTGGAAGCATCACTAAACAAAATAAGTTTGAAGTCGCGATATTTTTTACAGCATAAATTTTTACGTATAAGGTCAAAATGACCCCCCTAAAATTTAGGGTTAGTGCGGGCCGTTAATGTCAGCCGGGTTTTAATATTTAAAACCTCGGCCGGCATCAAAATAATTTCGACCCACACTAATCTAAATTTTAGAAGAGGTTGGTTAGAGTGTCCAGGGGTCTGTGGCGGCAAAATCTGCGCAGAATTTTTCTAATAAATGATTGGTCGATTAAATCGGTTATTATAATGTAAAATCGGAAGTCAATCGTTTTTTTTATTATTAATAAAGTTAAAAATAAAAGGTTTTTTCTACTATTAAAGTTTAAAATAAAAGTTGTCTATTATTAAAGTTTAAATAAAAGAGAAATTACCGTATTTACGCAAATTAACGCCCCGGGGCGTTATTTAGAGACTTGCAAGTTTCAGAGAAAAAATCATCAACTTAAAATAAATAATTTTCAAATTCCGATGTTTCTTATAATTTTATTTATTATTATTAGTCCGGTTAACAAAATGACTATAGAAACGCTTATCACTATTAGTCTGGTTAACAAAATGACTATAAAAACACTTATCACTA